CCTCGTGTAGCTTTTCGCGAAATTCTAAACCAAACCAAACAGCCCCCCCCCCCCCACAAGCACACACACAAATAAGTCATCCGTAAATATGAAGGCTTATAACGGTAAAAACCGGGTTTCGATTCCCCTGCTGGGCGCAGCACAGATAGCCCATTATGTAGCTTTGTTTTCAAGAGCAAATAAACAAAGTTCATTTCACAAGATAATTTCCAATAAAAGGTACTTGAGAGATAATGGTGAAAAATATTTGAATGTGTTTTAAACATTATCAGTATTTAATATATAGTTGCCATTACCAATAGTTTATCAGAATGATAGGCTTGTATTTTTTCTTAATTTTTTACATCAGTTTGTGGTTTCTTACAACAATTAATTATGGCAGAAATTCGCGAACATATCTGCAGTTTTGATTCACTAAATTAATACGGTATCTCGGGGCCTAAAAATCTAAATAAAAAAAATAAGTGATCCGTGTAAAATGTTGTTATTTAGTAGTTGAAAATTGTCAGCTTTTTATTGGCAGAATATTTAAATTGTGTGTGTGTGTGTGCATATAAATCCAAACACGCACTTCCGTTGTATTAGTAACTAAATTGAAAGTATTAGAAATGTCAGTATTTTTTTAGCATATAAAAAAAGTTGTTATACAGTGTATTATACTGTAGATATATTCAGAGAAATCTTTACTGAAACTTACAGGTGTATTTTAATCAGTTACATTACAGTGGAAAGGATTGTGTATTCAACCACGAGTTAAAGAAGGATTTAGTACAGATGTTATGAAAACTAAGATTATTGTTAGAAGAAAAAAAGTTACAAGTGTATTGCATTCATCAAGTTTAATACAGTATATCAAAGCCTAAATTAAAAAAAAAAGTCGTCACAAGTGGAAATTTCAGTATACAGATACTTGTGATGAAGGGCTGCTATGTACAGATGTGTTTCTAAAGAAGCAAACCGATGACACTGTATACAGTTTGCTGTTATTTTTACGTTAATTGGTTGTTTATTAATTCAATTTGTCTAATAGCGTTTTCACTGTTTATCCCTTTCCGTTTAGGAAACTTGAGTTACTTTAGCCAATCAGTGAAGGATATATATATATATATATACACGACAGCTCTTTCGTGTATTTTATCCAGTTTTCTTTAAGCTATAAATAAAAAGACTCGTCTTTTGGTCTTTCATTAGTAGAGGGTTTGTAACAGAACTCTGTTGTTAATGTGGCAGAACCACTATTATGAAGTTACAAACTTCGTACTGAAATGAACACATACACGCCATATGACAATCAAAGGAGGCACACGAAATAGTACATCCACGCCCTCGTGTTAAAGGTTAATTGATTACCCTTTAAGGACTGAATAATGGCATCTGACACGCAAACGCAACGTTTCGTGCTTAGGAACCCCCATCCCACCTTCTCCCTTACCCCGATGTTTATGGTCGTGGTTAACCTAACAATAAAACACAAAAACAGAAGCCATTAAGGTGTTAATTGTAATTACCAAAAGTTCTAGGAATGACTATTTGAATTTAAAAAATAACAGTCTAAGGAAATGTTAAAACATGTTTGTAAATTAATATATGAATAATTGCCTACTAATTTACCATTTGCCCGTGATGAAGAAAGGCCCGCCTTTCGAAAGCGCTCGAGTTATAAGGTTTTGTATTTTTGTGTTAATGGCTTAATAATTCATTTAAAACAAACATTTCATTAAGTACCTTCACGTGTTTTTCCAACACGTTGTATTATCCGTTTTAAAATAAATTTAATCTCACATACGGTATGCTTATTTATCAGTAATGGTTGGAAAAAAATAGTATTTGTTAGTATTTTTACAAATTGAAAACTAATTTCTATGAAAAGTGATAGTCACGTGCTATGGTTCATTATTAGCACGAGCAGAGGCAATGACGCAGTAAGTCCTGGAGAAAGAATATTGAAGCTGAAAGTGTGAATTTGTGTCGATCTAGACAAATAATGTGAAAGCTGTTCAGATATTCTCAATTAAGGGTGTCTGAATATTTCGCTTGTTGTGTATTTAGGTATGTTCCGTCTCAAATTATATAAACATACTTTCATTTGTCGATTTCTTCATAAGTTTGTTTGTCATTCTATAGATTTTTGTGTTTGTTTGTTTTAACGCACAGCTACACAATATGCTATTTGTGCGCTGTCCACCTTGTGGAATCGAAGTACATAAACTTACCGCTGACCCACTAGGTACTCTCAGTATATGGATTATGAGGGTCTGGTAGTAGTACTGTTTTGTCCTTGATAATCATAACAATTGTATTCAAATATTTGTAGTCAATGGAAGATTTTTCTATACTGCTTAGAGTTTGAAAATTTGAAAACTTTATAATTCCTGGCCCATTTTGTGCATGACCCTGCAGCACTGACTTACAAGCCTCGTTCAGTGCAGCTGTGCAGACCTGTTTCCTAACTTATGATTCTTGCAAAACTGAAAAGTACCGGTCAAAACAGCAACACGAATATGGGCTGTAGAAAATCTCTAGTGTAATCTACTGAAAATTAAAAGAACCAAAGGTCAACGAAGGTCACTGCACCAAACCAAAACACGTAATACAGTTTGGAAAATCACGCCTACATGTAAGGCCAAATATTTGTTATTAGTTATGTGCACGTTACTTGCCCCCCCCCTTTTTTTTTCTAGATTGGACATTCTTTAAGTACATTTTGCTAGTATTATCAATCATGGGAAAACCATATACCTGTTTATATTTCAACATTTACTGGTTTGGTTATCGTTTCGGTGTAAGTTTTTGGCAGCGAGTATACATTTGTTTTTTGTTTTTTATACTGAAGTAAGATTGTTAATAGATATCTTTAAATGCTGGAGAAGGAAAAGTGAGCGGGTTGTGGACACTTGTCAAGCAACTGGTTTGTGCCTAGTTGGGGAAACTGTTTACATAGGTGTCTGAATATGATTGTTCGGATTTGCCAGTGGACTCTATTTATACTTTGAACCTAAAATGTTAACAATGACCAAATAGTAAGAAACAGGCTTATAAGTCTTTCTTAAAGTCAATAAACCCAACTTCAGGCCAACATTTAACCATTCAGCACTGCACTGCTGATTATGAATTTTGTTGATATCATCAGATCCGACAGCAATACCATTGTCCACCATTGCAATGTTGTCTAATACGACCGGTTTGATGTATCAGTATGAATGAATGCACTGATGATACTGGGCTTTGGCGGATCAAATTTATTGATGGACATTTTATCTTGATACAGGATAATGCTCAATGTCATTCTTCTAGGATTATGATGTATTATTTTGAGGGAGAGATCATGGAGATTGATTGGCAGCAAGAAGTCTTGATGTAAAGCTTATTGTAACAACTCTGAGGCCTTCATGGACCCTGTATGTGTGTGTCAGAGCATTAACCCATTACGCGACATCAGAAGGTTTGGCGTTGCCATTACCTATTTAAGAAAAAAAAATCTCCACAACGTCTTCGGCCAACCGATCAGAAGTATGCCCTTCAGATGAGTAAATTCTGTCAGTATCAGGGGACTTCAACTTCACTACCGAGAGATCTAACTTTTGCCAAAGGTTTCTTTAGATAAGTTATTGCGGTCAAGCCCTAACTTATGTAGCGATGTATTTTCAATGGGACTGCTGTATTAACTGTATTCAGTTCATATAGTTAAAGAAAAAAATAATTATAATTTTTTTTCTTTTACTTTGTTAGAATTTTTTTATAATTAGCCATAACAGTATGTGGCTCATTTTACAGGTACTTCTGTTGTTCTGAATGTTGTAGCCTTCAGATTTAACTTTAGTCCTCGAGATTTAAACGAGTATATGTTTTTTTATTGTGGTATATAGAGTTTTTAAAAACGATTATCATAAAAAAAATCATTCTTGTACGGAACTAACCAT